AATTTCTAGTACCGAAGTTCCTAAAAAATCTTACGATATTCTTATGTGTAAAAATAAGAAAATGTGACCTAATTTTACGAGAGCTCCAACCCTCTAATGTTAGAGTTGATTTTAATTTGAAAATATAACAGATAATACCTACTAAATACTTCTTTATTAACAGATGAAAGATGTATATATATATTAATATTTCTTCACTTAGGGCAGTTAAGTCAGTTTAAGAGTTGTTGTAAAATGTGCTTTATAAATAAAAATTAATTTCATTACAACGTGTATTGGTAACGATCCTCTAATAAAACTTATGTCCAAATAACTGTATCTCACCTTCATTCTCAATGACCGTGTAGTGTAGGACAGCGCCGCGAGAATTCCATCGGCATCGAAAGCAAGTATTTTGACTTGCCTAGATAGCCGAGCGGTCTAGCGCGCTGTTCCTGTACTGCTAGGAGACAGATTCCGTAGGTCGAGAGTTCAACCCCGGGCTGGGGCGGAAGTGGGTATCCTTGTAAAAGTGAATTTCTTTGTGCTTTCTATATATATATATATATATATATATATATATATATATATATAATAAAAATGATAAAAGAAAAAAAGAGGAAAAATATCATAGATGACCAATTGAAATAAGAAAAAATAAAAACAATCGTCTAAACATCTTCAATACATTTTTCGCCACAAAACAGTTTTGATATGAAACAACGTATAAAATCTTAAGAGGAAGAAATCGAAAAATTAGAAGCATTAGATTCAAACATTACTAAAATGAAAAAAAATCTTTGGAGGCAGAGAAAGATGATATATATAATAATATTGCAAAAGGTGCATTTATACGACCGAAGTCAAATTAGATTGAAAAAGGCGAAAAGAACACGTCTAATTTTCTAAGATTAGAATGACAAACACAAATAACAAACGTAATGCATGAAATAAAAACGGAAAATAATGAAATAGTTAATTAAACTGGCGATATTATGAATAAGTTATGTGAATTCTACAAAAGTCTGCATGCAAGTAACAATATTTCTGAAAATGTTATAAATGAATACTTAAATGATATAAAGTGTATTTCATTATCAGGTCCAGAGAGACAGCTCTGCGACGAATTTCCTACCCTCACAGAATGTGAACAGGCTATAAAAGAAATGAAAAATAATAAATTCCCCTGGCTCAGATGGATTGCCCGTTGAGTTTTGTACAATATTTTGGAATGGTATAAAAGAATATTACTATAAATCATTAAAACAGACTTTTGAAGAAAAAAAAGCGAAATGCCCTTTACACAAAGATCATCATTAATTTCTTTGATTTACAAAAAAGGAGAAAAATTTACCTACGTTATTATAGACCCATCAGCCTAACAAATTGTGATTATAAAATACTAACTTCTCTTTTTGCAAAAAGATTACAAAAGGTTGTAGATAAACTCATCAGTGGATATCAAACAGCATACATCAAGGGTAGATTTATTAATACGAATGCACGACTTTTGTTAGATATATTTGAATTCTGTGAATCCACTAATAACGAAAGTATTCTGTTATTTTTAGACTTTCAAAAAGCATTTGACTCCATAAACTGGGATTTTCTATTAAAATATGTTGAAAAATTTAATTTTGGAGAACAGTATTATATATATATATATATATATATATATATATATATATATATATATATATATATATATATATATATATATATATATATATATATATATACTTCTTCAACTATTATTGTCTTCTTTTCAAAAATATGTCAATATATTGTGATATGAATATAAAGCAATGTAAAACATATTGTCACAAATGTAAAATGTAAGTGAAAGAGTGATAAAATTTAAAATTCAAACAGATACAACCTAAAAACACATTTAAAAGAAGATTTGTACGCATCCTACAATAGCATTTTATATTATTTCACAATTATTGACAAAAATGAAATTGAATATAGAAAGATATATATTTGAATTTTTTTTCGATGACACTTTCTCTTAAGATTTTAGTATAACCTACTACATGTATTACGTGCGATTTGTATATGTGATTGTAACGTCAGATCTCAAACTTTCCTGCTTCACAATCGATTGCACTGATTTTTTTCACTAGCAAGTGATGAAAACTTCGCTTCAATTTAATCCTATCACTTTTTTAAGGATTACAAAGCATATTGAGATCGTTGCTAGAGAAGAAGTCTGTCGTTAGTAAGATCTTAAGTTCTACTTGCTACGGATACATTCAAGAAAAGCACTTAAGATTTTTTGAAGTAAAATGGAACGTTATACTCCATCGTGGACTGCACTTGTTAATTATAAGACATAAAATGCAAGAATAAATTTAGATAATTTATACATATAATTTGATCCCGGTTAAAAAGGAACTTTTATTTTTTTATGCTTGTTAGTACACGATTTTCCATTAATTAATTCTCATTTCATTTCTTTTTGAAGACTGAGATAAACACATGGTGATTTTTTTTACTTAGTTATGATCTTTTCCTTTCTTTTGTTCTTTTTTCTTTCTCTTCAACAAATACACCTTCTGAGTCAGAAGAGTTCGAATAAGTTGGTCGTGACTCGCTTATCATAAGTGCTACATCTACGACATGTTTTGTGAAACGCTCGTATACGTTCACGTAAAATAATCGTAAACGTAATCGTACGTTTACGATCTACGATTTGTTAGTGAAACGGTCGCCTGGACTTAAAATTCCCTGATATTCCGATTATTCTCTGAAAATCTCTGATACACTCTGTACTTTTACTGTACATTACTGTTTTTGCCTCTGTACAATTAGTACATTACAGTACATCACTGGACAGAAGCACTGCATTTCACAACACCTCACTGTACTTCACAGTACTGCTCCACTATACATCACAGTACTCCACAATACTCCATAGTACACAGTCACTGCTTTCCGCTGTACGTCACAGATTTTAGCTGTACAGATTTCTGTACTTCACAGAACATTACTATTTACCCTGTACATATATACTGTACATTATAGTACAGCACAGCATTCCACTCTACTCTGTCCTGTACATCACTGTACGACACAGTTTTATCCTGTCCTTTTTTGAAAAGCTCAGTATCCTAAGAAGGAGTTTCTTTTTTTCTCATTTTATTAAATATTTCCTATTGGGTATTTCTTACAGATTTTTTAAGTAAATAGAAACTTTAAGCCTTAATTCTTCTAAATGACTGAATCATCTAAAAATTCTGTCATAACATTTTTATAGACTTTTTAGGTTACTTCTGTGCGAGCATTTTTGAGGTGATATTCCAATTTCACGTCTGATAGAAAAGAAAATTAGCCGAGTAAAGATTCTTATTTAAAAGGTTTCATTTTTTATTAATCTTTAATCAATAATCTTTCCCAAATGCTCCAATATTTCAATTCTTCATGTTTGTCTGTACGGAGGACCCGAATAAAACATCGATCATATCGATATGTTTTTGATTTTACACGTTTAAAATAAGCAGTTGTGTTCTCTTAATTAACTGATATTTATATACGCTGATAATTTTCTCCTAGATTTCTTTTGTAAACCACTAGCATTTACCACTCCCGTAACTCAGTTAACTTAAACTGTTTTAGATACGCAGTGATCGTGGTGATGTACAGTTCAATAATACGATATTTTAAGTAATCTCATCTACTTTTTACGATTATTTATCCAGACACAAATAACAATCACAATAAAATTTCCTCCTTTTTATATTAATACTGTGTCCATTACAATTTTTTTTAATTCTTATGCAAAATTTAGACATGACAATTGATTAATGGTTCTGCGGGTTATGCATTTTTTTCATATGCAATAGCTGTAATCGTTCATTCCTGGATGAACAGGCCAAAAATAAAACATTTTATTCTCTAACTTATTCTTTCACTTAATAAATTTTGCATCATATTTTCATTTTAAAAGGGAAATGATCCAGACAATGCAGGATAGAATAATTAATGATCATTTTGATAATTAAAAAAAAAAAATCAACATTACGTTATATTATACCAAAAAATAAATAATATCTTACAACAACAATTTAAATGTGTTTTTTTTATGGTGATATCTTATTCATTTCTTTTTTAAAAATTCCTGTTTATTCGCTGTCTTGGGCGCATTTTGTCATCGCTAGTACAATGCAAGTTCTTAACAGTTTCTGTGTACATCTCTGACCACTGGTAATTAAGGACTATTGTTTAGAACCCATCAAAGCAATTTACCCGATGTTTTCCTTAGATCAAAGTAAATGGGGAGGAGCTTAGGTCTCGCCTTCGTCCAATCTGTTACTCTCTATATGATTTGTCAGTTTTCAACAAGTGGTCTTTGCTTTTAAAATAACTGTTGGAAAAATCACCTTAATTTTGCAATTGTACGTAAGAGATAAATGACTAAATACATATGTAAATACGTAATTGAATAAATGGCTAATAGAATGAATGAATTCATACGCTTAATAATTACCAATATCATACCTGTTTCATAAAGCGAACTGATGCTTAACATAATTAAAGAACTGACATGTGTTGCAAATTGTATACATGCACATAATTGTGGTTCTCATAAAGTACATGACGACTTATTAAACCGTATTTCAGCGTGTTCGTAACCTGTTAAAACTGGTCCCCAGCGCATTCAACGTACACGATAGTGTTTGTCTTGTATTCCCTACGTCGGCATATGTTGATGCTATGCGTCATAATGTGACAGCTACCTCAATTTCTAACATTTCATTTTTTGAGATCAGTTAAAAGTGTACGAATTAACAAAATCATAAAAAATGAAATTACCTTTCGAATTTGTCTTCATGTATCAAATAAGAGAGTCATTGGCCATATCACTTTCTAATTTAGTAAGAGATCCTTTATTTCCTTCATGGCTTAATTTTCTGATTTTTTTTTCTTGCAATTCTTTCTCTATGATGTTCAAAGTCTAGAAATATTCTTTACCTTTTCCGTATTTTTCAGTGGTTGCTGTAATGGATACTTCGAGCCATGCCATTACGATACAAACAACAATAGAATTGCTGTGTCATTTCAATGTGAGCAGTTTTGAATGGGAGGCTGTTCGGTTAGACTTTCAAAACGAATCTTTAATCTCTCAAACAATCGTAAGCGTCACAAACAGCAGCAAAACCTCGAATGAAAATCGAATAAATGCGTCTTTGAGTGTAGATTCGTATTTCGTGAATGTTTCCTTTGTCTTGGATTTTGCAACTTCGAAGGATGCTTGCTCTCTGTCCGGGATGTACACATGCTCCATAGATATGGTAGACAAACACATCGCTACAGAAAGCGCGAGCACAGTTTTGAACTTTTCAGGTAAATTGGACACACCTCTTTTCCATGTTTTCGTTAGCATACCTTGGTTTTATCAAAGAAATTTAAGTATTTCCATAGTATTTTGTTTTCCATTTTCAGCTCCCGTCTCTGATATAACTCTCCACCTTCGTCCTCAATATCAATATGGAACAGATGATTTCATCAACTGTAGCGCAAAGACAATGGAACCATCAACAACTACTCTGTCCCTGGAAGTTTGTCATTCTGATTCTACTTTTATTCCCATCGAGAAATATAATATATCCTCTGTTGTCTTCAATGAGACTAGTCTGAAAAACGAAAATTGTTCTCTGGAAATGCTGCTTGGTCACCGTGTTCTCTTCAATAATCAAATGAACGTCTCCTTGCGATGTACAGTTCATGGTTCTGATATGAACACACCATTGTCTACAGATTGTGAGATTCCCGACATTTCAACTGCATTGGGTAATCTTTTCAACTCTAAATCGTCGTCTTTTCCTCTCAGATTATGTTTGTTAGCCCTATGTTGTTTCAAGTTTTCATGGGTGAAAATTTCCAGTGATAACATCCTCAATTTATTACATTCGATGTTCTTGAGATCAAACAAGAAATACACACCATGAATGTAAACTTTCAGGAATGAAAGTACTGATATGAATATTTACCTTTTCATCAGAACGTTCATAAAAGCAAACTAATATATCATTGAAATTTTACATCAAAATGCATATCATTATGAGATGTTACACTGCTCCCACAAACACAAAGGAGACTTTAATTCAATTTCATAATAACAATTCAGTCGCATTGTTGGAAATGTTTTTTATTAAGTTGAATTGTTTTCTCTCTTGATTTGTGGAAAGTGTTTCATTCCTACTAATGATGCTATTTCAGATTCAGAAACGAGAAGTTTCTTTCTTAAATTTCATTTCTGAAGTAAACCTTTTAGAGTGTTTTACAATCATTTGAAATGAGCAATAAGTATAAGGTGGTATTATCTCGAATTTGTCTTCATGGGTTTAATTGGGGAGTTACCGACCATATCACTTTTTCTAGTAATAAGAGATGTTTTATTTCTTTGAGAGCTTTCTTTGCTGATTTTTGTTTCTTGAAATGCTTTGTCTGAGACGTTCAAAGTCTACAAAAATTCTTTACCTATATTATCCGTATTTTTCAGTGGTTGCTGTAATGGATACTTCGAGCCATGTCATTACGATACAAACAACAATAGAATTGCTGTGTCATTTCAATGTGAGCAGTTTTGAATGGGAGGCTGTTCGGTTAGACTTTCAAAACGAATCTTTAATCTCTCAAACAATCATAAGCGTCACAAACAGCAGCAAAACCTTGAATGAAAATCGAATAAATGCGTCTTTGAGTGTAGATTCGTATTTCGTGAATGTTTCCTTTGTCTTGGATTTTGCAACTTCGAAGGATGCTTGCTCTCTGTCCGGGATGTACACATGCTCCATAGATATGGTAGACAAACACATCGCTACAGAAAGCGCGAGCACAGTTTTGAACTTTTCAGGTAAATTGGACACACCTCTTTTCCATGTTTTCGTTAGCATACCTTGGTTTTATCAAAGAAATTTAAGTATTTCCATAGTATTTTGTTTTCCATTTTCAGCTCCCGTCTCTGATATAACTCTCCACCTTCGTCCTCAATATCAATATGGAACAGATGATTTCATCAACTGTAGCGCAAAGACAATGGAACCATCAACAACTACTCTGTCCCTGGAAGTTTGTCATTCTGATTCTACTTTTATTCCCATCGAGAAATATAATATATCCTCTGTTGTCTTCAATGAGACTAGTCTGAAAAACGAAAATTGTTCTCTGGAAATGCTGCTTGGTCACCGTGTTCTCTTCAATAATCAAATGAACGTCTCCTTGCGATGTACAGTTCATGGTTCTGATATGAACACACCATTGTCTACAGATTGTGAGATTCCCGACATTTCAACTGCATTGGGTAATCTTTTCAACTCTAAATCGTCGTCTTTTCCTCTCAGATTATGTTTGTTAGCCCTATGTTGTTTCAAGTTTTCATGGGTGATAATTTCCAGTGATAACATCCTCAATTTATTACATTCGATGTTCTTGAGATCAAACAAGAAATACACATCATGAATGTAAACTTTCAGGAATGAAAGTACTGATATGAATATTTACCTTTTCATCAGAACGTTCATAAAAGCAAACTAATATATCATTGAAATTTTACATCAAAATGGGTACAGTCCACTAATTGTTTTCCCATAGGCGGCAATGTTAACGTTTCTTCACATAGCAATGTCCCTAATTTTCGTTCAGCAGTGAGTGACCCCTCAAATCAAAGCACATCAAGTTGTCTTTCCTTGGTTAAAATCTTGAGGTGGCATGTCAGATTCGTTTTCCGGCAAAATGCGTCTGTCTGCGTTAATCTCTGAAAAGGAAAGTGAAAGTAGGGGAATTCCAGACTTCTCACTGGTGTTATAATACATAAAATAATTCTGCTAATCTTATTGATAAATTACATCTGCCAAGCTTTTTTGCAAGGGAACATACTCCTTATCAACAAGTATGAGGCTCAGTTTAATACATTATCACAGTTTTTTTTATTCAGGTCTGCAAATTAAGGAACTTGTCATTTTTTCTGCACTACTTTCTTCCCCTACAGATTCTAAAAATAATTAGAGGTATGTACCCAATATGAAAAAGTATTTTCTGGATTTTACAACATTTTACATCATAAGTCATACTACAGTCTATGTAGTGACACTATGCCAAATTTCAGGAAAATTCAATCATTAATAAAGATTTTACAGCATGCACAGTTCTATATGCAAAATCCTTTAAAAATGCTTCCATCTAGCCACAACTGCACCCACATTTTAAGTCATCGGTTAACCTATTAATGTACTTATACCATTTTTATTCTCTTTCATGACTTTAAATACATCAAGCAAAATTATAATCATGCACTCATATGGGTCCATTTCTCTTATTTCAAAAAATCAATGCATTTTCGCACAAAATTTGATCATCCCTCACCCTTGAATTCATTGTTTCTCCATGATAGACAAAAAAATTAAGTTTACAAATACCCCGAAAGTAGTAAAAATAGAAAATACTGATTATTTCCTGTCCATTGATGTATCATTCAGGGAAATTGGTGAAGGAATGAAAAAGTTATAAGCCTATATATTCTTGTGTACATTCATCTGTTTCAAAGCAATTCTTACGCCAATGCAAGTTCACTCATCTATGACGTCATAATGACATCATAATAATGGATTGCTTATTACACATGTAGTGTTACTTTTCCCGTACTTTTAAATAAAGATGAAATTAGAACTAAAATATTCATTATAACAATACTTGCATGAGCAAATCAAATAAATAGTCTACAGAAAATGTTTTGTTTCCATGGTAACCATTTTGTAATTTGTAGAAAAATGAAAGAGAACTTTGAAAATTTTGAATTTCCTTACAAGTCGCTCGTTTTGACTGACAAATATTAAAGAAATTTTAACTCTAATATTTTTTAATCTTAATATTTTATCATACACAACACTATGAATGTTAAATATTGTTTTGAAATTCTTTTCAAATTATATTAGCTGTAAAATATATAGCATACATGTACAGATTAGTTTGATGGTCACTTTCATAGCTCAAATATTCATTTAAAATCTACATTTTCTAAGCTTTAACACCTCCTCCCTCCCCTCCACCCCCACCCCCCCCCCCCCCCCACACACACACACACAAAGAAGCTTTAGAAAATTCAACTTACATATTGAAAGTACTGTCATCATTTTACATGTGAAGACTCAAGATGTGTTCAAATGAGTTTGTTTTTACTGACTGATAGCTTTAAACACCATCTGCATGAACCTCAAAGTTGTCCTGTATCACCATGAACCTAAAAGAAAAATCAATTTAAAAAATGGTGCAATAATTTATCAGCATCAAAAGCACCTAAAACATTCACAGGCAGACATCAAACACACACAATTCTACCACATTCCTTTTATGCCCATAATTTGATATCAATTTAAAATAATGAATTTGCGCTGATTAGTCTCAACATTGTTAAATTACATGTAAATTAATAATACAGGTAAAAAGCAGGTTTACTGACAATAATTATACATTAGATAAATACATGTAATGCAGTTAATACATGTAAAATATAAAAAATGTTAGTGTGCATGTTCACGCACACACTGCTTAACTTCCACAGAACTGTAGCCTGACCAACTTCTTTGAAAGAATGCACATGTATATGTAGCGTTTCCGAGTAAATCCTTTTCACATTCATATTTTGGTAGCTCTCAATCATAATTCCTCTTTGTAATAAAACACAAAATAACGGTAAAATGTTTATTAAATCCAAATGAAAATAAAATATAATTCAAATCAATGTCACAAAGTATAAATCCAAAAGAATTGAATGAAAGGCACTTAAAATAATTATTCCAATGTAACTCAAGTTAAATTCCCATTATTAAACTACTCTTTCAAATTACTCCCCCAAATTACTCCCCTCTCATTATAAAATGAGCCTGCTTATATAGTTTATGACTCCTCTTACTCCTCCTAATGTCTCCCCTAAAGTAAACTAAGGTCAAGCTATAAAGTCTAAACACTATAAATCACTACCATTGTATAAAACCTCCTCCTAACCTAATTAACAGCTCCCCATGACCTGTTCGCAGTCTGGGTCAAGACATTGATAAACAATCTAGTCTAAGAATAAAAGTAAAATAATAAAAACATACTAATCTACTGAATAAGAAAAGTAAATATAAAAAAATAATAAAGATAAAAAAAAATCATTATGCTACATTTCCCCCTGCTTAGCTTTGTACCCCGTACAAAAACAATTAAACAAAAATAAAAGCCTTTCAAACAAAAGTAAGACAATGTAAATAATAAAAGCAAATGATAAAACAAAATCAATCATGTACATCATCAAAAATATGCAAAATAATGGCATTTTAAAACAAAAATACTTATAAATGATGAATTAAAAAAAATATTAAAATGTCATCTATTTACAAATTTATACACGGTCACAGTTCATTTATTACTCTCATTAGAATTGTCCAAGAAATCGTCCATGAAATCTGATATCAAGTCCATCACTGGCACCTCTCTCATTTCTTTGGTATAAGAAAAGTTTATCTCTTTAACAATTTCTGAATGTCCGTCCTTGTGATTAATTTTCCTATGAATTAACTGGATGGTAATGGATTTCTTTTCCTCAGAAACATTGTCTTTTTCTTCCTCATTACTGTTCTCGGCACTCTCTTCTGTTTTGTCACAATCCTCAGAATCTTTTGATGGCTCGAACTCTTCTTCATCAGATGAAATATCCTCATATAAATCACTTTTCACGGTAAAATCCATATTCCGGTCATTAGAAAAATTTGGAATATCTTCTGGTGAAAGGTCATCTAAAACTTCCATTAAACTGTGTTGCGAAAAATAATGTCTTTTAAAGTTGAAATTCCTTGTAAATATCCGTTGACAAATGTCACATTGATAAACTTTCTTCTTGGAAAAATGGTGTTCTTCTAAATGTCTTTGTAAATTCCTTTTATATTTGTACGTAATATTGCAGTCAAAACATTGGAACATTTTCACATAGAGTAAATTTTAAGTGTTTATTTTCTAAATCTTGTTGGGGTTTTTATAAGCCTGCCCAGTCTTGTTTTCTTGGGTTCCATCTGGGTTGGGGTTGACAAATGTCCATTATTCTCCTCCCTGCTCCTCTCTAACGGTATATCCTGGGTCTTGTCTTTAACTGGCAAGGTGTTTTCGGCTTCAGAATTTCCAGTGTTGTTAAATTGATCTTCAATGTCTTCGGGGACTTCATCACTTGGACATAAATTTGGAATGATGACATCTGGTTCACTATTTGTAGTTTTCTGAATAATGCGTTGCAGTTTCAAATAAGTTGTCTTGTTCACTTTTAATGGTTTAAGATTGTCCGCATGAATTACGACAGGTTTTGAAGAAATAGAATGTTGAATTCGATATAACACACCACTGAGTTTTTCAGTCACTACCCAAGGTCCACTCCAATTTCTTGCAAGTTTAAGTTTGGTTCCTAATATTTGCTGAGGTTGGAAACGACACACAGTATCACCAACACAGTATTGAATTTTTCTCACATTTTGATCATAATTTTTCTTCTGGGTTTGGCTACTTTTCTTGGTTTCTTCTCTAGCAATTTCATGGCATTGATCTAATTTTTGTTTCAACTCACGAACATAGTCATGATAATTGTTTGAGTCACTTATGACATTATTATCCTGATCAGAGAATAAATCAACCGGCATGACCATTTCTGTTCCAAATAACATTCGGTACGGACTTATTCCAGTTGTTTCATGCACAGTACTGTTGTAAGCCATGGAAATTCCATCGATGAATTTGTCCCAATCATTTTGATGTAAGGAAATGTATTTTGACAGCATATCTTTAATTGTACGGTTCAACCTCTCTACCATTCCATCTGATCTTGGGTGAAACGGAGTTGTACGTGTTTTATGAATTCCAAGTAATGAACACAAGTTTTGAAAAAGTTGACTTTCGAATTGTCGGCCTTGATCTGTATGTAACGCATAAGGGCATCCATAACGTTTAATCCATCCTTTGAATATAACATTAGCGACAGTTTCAGCTTCCATATTTGGAATCGGGAATATTTCAACAAACTTTGTAAAATAATCTGCTACCACAAGAATATACACATTTCCACTAGCTGTTTTTGGAAACGGTCCAGCAATATCTGCTGCTATTCTTTCCCAACGTCCCCCTGCAATGAACGATTCCATAATACTTCGCTTTTGTCGTTGTGGATTCTTTCTTTCTTCACACACATAACACGATTTCACATAATCGGTCACATACTCACGAATATTTGGCCAGTAATAAGAACTTTGATTCACTTTACGAATATTCCTCTGAATTCCAAGGTGTCCTGAAACTGGTGAATCATGGAGATACCACATCACAACATCACGCTTTGATTTTGGTGTACATATCCTCAATCTCACTTTATTCAATTCCATCCATTTAACACACAAAACATGTTGATGGATTTCTAGAATTTCCCATCTATTGTACCAAAACTTACACTCAGGATCAAGTTCTGTGATTACACTACTAGATGGTTTGTTTTCAGATCCAAATTTTTCA